CAAGACGTGGTTGTTCCAGCTAGCGGGACTGGCCTAAGGGATTTTAAAGGGGTTTTAATTACTTTTAATCTGACATATTTAAATATTTCTTTTTAATCAAATTTTAATTAGGTATAATATGTATAATATGTTAGTATTTTATCCAATTGTCAGCCGCCCTGAGTCCGCAAGGAGAAGGGCGGGATATAAATGTAATTAAGAAATAAATAAAATAAATAAATAAATAAATAGGCCACCTTGGCTCTTTTATGACTGGTGGACTTCAACTCCCAGAATTCCTGAGCCGGCGTGGCTCAGCTTGGAAACCTCTCCCTTCCCCTCAGCATGGCTGACTCAGGAATTCTGGGAGTTGAAGTCCACGAGTCATAAAAGAGCCAAGGTGGCCTACCCTTGCTCTAGCGTCACATGATCAAAATTCAAACGCTTGGCAACTACTTCATATTTATGACGGTTGCATTGTCTCGGGATCTGACGAGCACAGCCAGTGGGAGAAGTCAGATTCACTTAACAACCGTGTGAGTAACTTAACAGCTGCCGTGATTCATTTAACAATAGTGGCAACAAAAATGAGGCAAAACTCACTTAATAAATGTCTCAGCAATAGAAATTTGGAGCTCAATTGCGACTTACGACCACAGCCGAGCTCCAAATTTTTATTGCTAAGTCGAGGACTACCTGTACAATACCAATACAATATCTAGAGGTCAGATCTAGATATTTCTATCACCAGAGAGATAGAAAAAGTGAATTTTGCAGCTTTGAGAATCCAATTCAACTCTATTTTGATCAACAATCAAAACACGAGATCCTCAATTGTTGGTAGATACAATGCAATACCTCCTAAATTGATGTAAAAGTTTCATAGAAACTCATTTCCACATTACAGGTAGTCCTCAACTTATGACCATAACTGAGCCCAAAGTTTATGTTGCTAAGTGAGACATTTCTTAAGTGAATTTTGCCCCACTTTACAACATTTCTTGCCATGGTTCTTAAGGGAATCACTGCAGTTGTTAAGTTAACCACACAGTTGTTCAGTGAATCTGGCTTCCCCCATTGACTTTGCCTGTCAGAAAGTTGCTAAAAGAGAATCACAGGACCCCGGGACACTGCGACCGTCATAAATATGAATCAGTTGCCAAGCATCTGAATTTGGATCACGTGACCTCAGGGCTGCTGCAATGGTCGTTAAATGTGGGAAACGGTCATGTCACTTTTTTCTGTGCCGTTGTAACTTTGAACGGTCACTAAGAGGATTACCTTATCAGTAAGAAAAAATAAGTTTAACAAATATATTCAAATGAATACAAAAGTCAAGTTGCAAATATGACCCATTTTTATTTCTTACCCGTAGATTTCCCTGACAGTGGGTGTAATAATGACTCAGAAAATCATGCAAGGAATTTATTATTTCCATACAGTAAAGATTTTAACGTACATACGAATACTGACTTTTCAAAAGCCTGTACAATCACTGGATTTCTATAGAATAATTTTTAAAAGAAACTCTATTGTCTCAGAAGGGCATGTTCATTAGCATAAACCTCGTAGTCACAAAATTGCATTTGCAAATGATACAAATAGCAGCTCACATCATTTGTGAATGGTGTCAGGCAGTGGAACCAAAAATTCATTCTATAAATAAGCACCAGATTCTCTTGGTGCAGATATTTCAGAAATAAACTTATTGCAAGCTACA